AAAAAAATTGTCTTTATATCACTATCATGTATTTTTAGGATACAATTAATATTTTTTTAATTTATCTAGAACTTGTGATAAATCTAAATAACTCATTGATCATCTCCTTCTGTTCGAAATAAGAAGTACTGTGTTCGAGTCGCATAGCATGCGGGTGGGGTGGAATAAGAGATGAGAGATAATTGTTTTTCATTGTACAATCAAGATAAAAAAAAAATAAACTTGTGATATTAGATATATCCACTTATTTAATAATATGTAAAAGTTGTACAAAAAATTAATAAAAAAAATTATCCTTACATCACTATGATGTATTTTTAGGATATCATTAATATTTTTTTTATAATTAATTTATATAAAAATAGTAAGTGTTGATTTTAAATTAATCAATTAATTAATTAAAATCATTCACGTGTTAATAATATTAAAATAAACATTAATTTTTATAATTTTTTATATATATTAATTATAAATATATATTTATTACATTATTAACCTATAATTTTTTATGTATATTAATTATAAAAAATATATTTATTACATTATTAACTTATATTTTAAAAATATAAATTAGATAAATACTTAAAGTAAATAAGAGAGAAATAAAGAAAAAGAGAATTATCTGGCGGATCGAGTTAAAGATCTGTTCAAATTCTTCATTTCTTATCGTGCGTGAAGCTCTGCACAACCGAACATGGAGGCACATGCAGCTTCAAATCCTGCTATGCGAGACATTGATGGAATTATTTCCCCACAAACAAGTTCATCGAGACACTATATTCTTCACAACCTATGCGAATATCCTTTTGCTGTTATTCTTACTTTTCGCCAATTTTAGATATGGATGTAGGATTGAGACAAAGGATTTGAGAGAAAATGTGCCAAAAAAATAAAATAAAATAAAATAAACTTAATTTATTGTTTTTTTTTAATTTAAAAAAGCAAATTTTGTTGAGTTGTAAATAAAATGATAAATTTTTAATTTTTTTATTTAAATATATCAATTTTTTATTTAAAAATTAATTAAATAGTAATGTTAATTTATTAAATAAATTTTTAATTACGTAATTAATTCTTAAATAAAAATAAAAATTTAATAACTTCAAATAAAAATAAAAATTTAATATTTTTAAATAAAAAATAAAAAATTTACTTGCTCATTAAAAAATTAATAAAATTCAGATATTTAAATAAAAATAATAATAAAATTTTTATTCTTAGATATCGGCACCTTTACTAAAAGGATTGAATATGAAATCAATGTTATATCAAAATAAGGCAATAATCACAGTACCAAAGTCGGTCTAACAAGTTACTAACTTAAGGACTTATTTAGTTTTCAAAACTCGATAATTATGAAATTCCATATAGATTAGAAGCAAAATTAAAATCCTAATACAATTGAATTAGGAGATTAATTAAATCTTGCTCAAAAGAAGTGCTTTGTACACAAATCGCCCTTAGAACGCTCCTCCATCGGTTTCTGGTCAAAACCAAAAAGGTTAATTACCACAAAGAATTTCTCCTTTTTATTTTTAATTTTCATGATTTTTTATTGCCTAAACCCGAAACCACTGGGTTGGGTCGGGTATCTGAACCCGAACGAATCAACCGAGTTTGGAAAGTTCTGAGTCAACACACCCGGGTTCTGTTGTAAGAATCCCGAGTTGTCAACCCGCTGAGTTCTGAACCCACTCTGCACCTCCTTCTCCACCGAGTTCCGACCCTGGTTCGCCAATTGATCCACGTGGCACAGCGGCGGGATAGAGGAGAAGTACGCGTCATTGTTCACGTACGTCGGAATTCCCAGACTCTGCAACTGAGTTTGTCCTCCGGGAACCGAGTTAAGCCCAGTGAGACTCGCCAAATTCATATTCCCGCAACCGAGATTCCGAGATCCCATTTGCTCATCGTTCTCAAGCGCTTTCAACGAGTTCATTCGTGGTAAGGAGAGGAAATGGTCGTCTATCTCCTGTAAAGACTCGAGCATGTCGTCGAAATGCGATGAAGAAGGGGAGGAGGAGCCATTATTGCTACGCTCTTTATTTGGATTAACGCTCGCCGCCATGGTGGGTCTTTGAGAGCTTGAATTCTTCTTGTAAATTCGACACAAAACCCAATCATCCAGCTGAAAACAACATCAAACAAAATTATTAGATGAGCTTTTGCGAAGAGGTAATTTCTCGAAAACCTACTAAATCAGAACTTGAAAAAAGTATGTACCTTTGAGCTTCCCTTTTTGCGTTGGCTGCTTATCAGACGATACTCATGCATGATCCAATTGGTTTTCGTTCCTTTTGGAGCTTTACCGATGTAGAAAACCAGTGCTTTCTTGATGCCAACTGTCTGACCCTCCGCCGTGATGATCTTGTCGGTTCCGGTGGCCTTCCAGTACCCAGATCCGGCAACTCTATTGGGTCGAGACCCGTTCGGGTACTTCCTATCTCTGGGACTGAAAAAGTACCATTCTTTCTCCCCAAATATGGCCTTACCTGCAAAACCCAAAACCCAAACAACCCCATTTAGCACAAAAATTCAAACTTCAAATCAAAAACCCTAGAAATTTCGAATTCCAGTGAAGATTTCTTACTCGGCAAAACCCATGGATCAAACTTGTACAAATCAATTTCACCGATAATTTGCATAGAGAACTGATGCCCTGCTACTTGCCGGCATAGATACTGCACCAGAAGCTCCTCATCAGTCGGGTAAAAACGAAAACCCGGCGGCAAGCACAATTGAGCTAGCGGGTCTGTCTCCGGTATCCCCATCAACGGAATTTCAAGAAAGCTTGAGAACGAGCTAGAAGGAGATGAAACAGGGTAGGATAAATTTGATATTTTTTTTTGAAGTTCTTTTTTTTTTTTTCGAAGCTTTAGAGAGATGGCGCGACACTTATAGGGAGGAGATAGAGAGAGATAAGTACGGTCGTCCTTGTCTTACTGTTCCTAACGGGACCCACATTATGTTTATCACAGTTTAAAAGAAGGCCACGTGTCCATGATCAGGCGGCCGACCTTATCTCGACCGAGCTGGTGCATGAACCGTCGCCAAAAAACAGGAGTGTGAGTCACAGCGATGGGGGTGTACGTGTCGATATTTCACGGACTCCTCTTAAAGTTCAAGCAATTCTAAAAAGGTAGTACCAAATTCTCATGACCCATAATAAGCCATAAGGGAAAAAGACAAAAAAAGAGAGAGAATAGAAAGGGAAAAAAAATTATGCCCTAAAACTTCTCCATAATTGGCTATTGAGTCTTTACAGTTGTTTTATGGCAATTAAGTTCATTAATTTATTGAGCTTGCTTGGCTGCGCTTAAAGGCAAGTTCTGCCAAATAATGTGGGTGTTTGATAAAGTTAAAAAGAACTTATTTTAAAAATATTTTTTTTCTCATAAATTTAAGTTACTTTAGAAGAAAATTTAAAATGATCTTTTAAATGTGTTTTTAAGTAAATTTTGAAAAACTTTAAGAATTTGTTTGGTTTTCTCTTCGTTGAAAAGATATATCCAAGAAGTCACATGCAAAATATGGTTTGGCTTGGTCTAGAATTTGTAATTTTCTAACACAACTTATAAATTGATAAAATTTGTTTTAAAAAATATAAGTGCTTATAAATAATGTAATCAATTATAATTATTTAAAAAGTATTTCTCAATGAAAAATGTGTGAGAAAATTTCCTTCTAGGTATGATAATCAATTATAATTGAAAAGTAATCACTTATTTTAATTTTTAAGCAATATAATTGATTATAATCAATTATTTTTTACATTGTAATTTGTGGTCACAAAATGACTTTCTTAGACTAAGCCACTACTTTAAAAGTGTGGCTTCCTTGATATTTTTTTCTAGAGAATCTTGAAAACCAAATAGTACCTAAATATGTTAATTTTTTGGAAACTTAATAGTCATTTAAAAAGTTAATTTTTAAATTTTTCTTTAACAAAATTAAGGAATACTTTATTTTTTAAACAAGTATTTTTTAAGTTGCTAAACACCCTCAAGCTCATTGACTTTGTTTGCGTGTCTTCTATCATCCATTTTGGGCCTTATTTCTTCAAATTTATAATTTTGTAACCTTAATTGCCACAAGACACTATGATGGTTCAATTGCCAAAAGTTAAGAAGTCTAAGAACTTTGTTTCCCACTTTGATAAACTCGTGGAGGCGTTCGCGTTTTTCACGCGTAGGAAGTACTAGTACTAACGTTAGGCCATAGGTATGGCGCACAAATAATCAAAAATATTATAAATGTGTTCAATTAGTTTTAATAATTTATTATTGGATAATAAAAATTAACTTATAAATCAATGTTAACGTCGTCTTATTTAGCATATAATCTTTCATATCAACTGCCACCCTCCCAACCAACTTGAGTGCATTTCCCTTCTTAATAGACGGCTTCGACAACTTGTTAAAAAAAACAGACATCTTATTTAATTCATGGCCACGTTGCCAGCCATTTCTCGGATTCAACTTCAACACGTGTTTGAAAGGACAACAAATGTAAGACTAAGTTACTGACATGAGTCACACCCAGCTTTCTTTCGTCTGTCACCATTTTAAATGTCGTCCTTTTAGGTTTGAAATGTTCTTGTATGCGGATAAGAATGGGATTGAGTTCCCCAGGCCACTAGGTAATTCTACTTTGTTAAAGACAAGGTTTTTAAATTGGATAAGATCGGTCAGTTGAATCAATCAAACCATGATTCGGTAGTGAGAATGGCTCGATTTGTATAATAGACCTATTTGTATGTCAAAATTGGTCAAACCTAATGGAATCGATGAAACCGATGGAATCGATAGAACTAGAAAAACCATCAGCTTAATTTAGCATCAGTCTTGTTATCAATTTCACCCTCATCATTCCTTTATTATATCGGTTTTAATCCTTAATTTCAACAACATTGCAAAATCATCAAGAAAAAAAAAAAAAACAAAATTAGAAACTCTTTGAAATATGAAATTGTTTGTCAAAAGTGAAAACCCTCGAGCCTTGACTCCCAAGTCTGAACCCAAGTTCTTTGCCTTTCTACCCTTTCCCACACTGCCGACACTTTCCTCCCTCTCTGTTGTGTCTAATCTTCGGTGTTGCTCTCCGCTTTCTATAGATCTGCTCTCATCAAAGCTACTCTTTGCCTTCTGTTGATGTACTCTCGCGGTCTCGCTGGAGTTGCTTTCTACTTTATATTGATCTGCCTTCACCGATTCATCAAACTGAAGCTGCTCTCTGCCTTCTGTTGATTTGCTCTCTGCCTTCTGCTGATTTGCTCTCACCAAAGCTGCTCTGCTCTCACAGAAGCTGCTCTTTGTTGTGCTGTCTGTTGATCTGCTTTCTACTGTGCTGTGCTGTCTACTGATCTGCTCTCTACTGTGCTATGTTGTCTACTGATTTGCCCTCAAATTTCCTTTTTATGTTTGGGCCGATCGATTGACCAATTGAATCGATTGAACCAATTAAATGAAGAACCAAAACTAAAATGGTTCATTGTTCGATTCAGTTTTCGAAACCTTGGCTAAAGATTTATTTAATTGAAATGTTTTAAAAATATATATTAAAGTGTATTAAATATATTATTTTATAATAAATTTTTATAAAAAAAATTAAAAATAAGATATTATTTTTAATATTAATATTATTTAAATAATTTTAATTAAATAGTTAATAAATTTAAAATTAATTTTTTGTATAAATTAATTATGAAAAATATAAATAATACTCTCTTAATTTATATTTTTAAGATAAAAATTAGACAAATCCCATAGTTAACAATATTCGTCTTTTCAATAAAGAAAAACATCCTAATTAATTGTTCTCCTTATTCATTTTTAGTAAATATAATAATTTTT